ATTACTAGTAAAAATTTAAAAAAAAATTTAAAATCCCAGTATATATACCGCCATTTGTAAACACTATATCTTTCACGTAAACCAATTAATTTACTCGTATTGGGATTTTTTTTTTTTTTTAGCAAAGACATGTAGCAGAATACATTTTGGCCTAAATTTATGACAAAATTTGATATTTTAAAATTTTTTTTTACTGGATAGCAAAAAGTCAAAAATATTATTTTTTTTTTCTCAAAATTGTCGGCCTTTTGTTTTTTATAGGGCAAAAAATTAAAACATGCACAGGCGATCAAATACCACCGAAAGAAAGCTCAATTTGTGAGAAAAAAGACAAATTTGATTTGCGTGCAGCGTTGCATGAACGCGCAATTGCCAGTTAAAGTAACATAGCGCCGTAACGTAAAAAAACGGCCTGGTCCACCCCCTTTCCAGATGTCGAATTGTACGCGACAGGGATGCCCACTCTCCTCTCTATTGCAATCCAGTCTCACCCCGACATACAAGGGATATTATCTCATAGGAATGAGTACAAACTATCCCTATTTGCGGTTGATATCCTCCTTACACTCTCGAACCCCCAAATCTCTCTTCCAGTATTACATAAAATTTTACATCAGTTCGGGACCCTCTCGGGTTACAAAGTTAATACCTCCAAAACTGAAGCACTCCCTCTTCACATCCCACCAGCTGTTCTCTCGTCCCTCCAAAAATCCTTCCCTTATTGATGGTGCACTCATTCTCTAAAATATTTGGGTACTAGCCTCACTTCCTCCTACAGTTTTATATATGACGCCAATTTCCCCCCCCTATTTATAGCTATCTCTCGCTCCTTGAAATTCTGGGATACTCTACCCATATCCTTCCTGGGACGCCTCAACATCATAAAAATGACTGTACCGCCCAAACTTCTGTATTTATTTGCGACTCTTCCCGTTTCTGTTCCCATGTCCAAACTACACTCCCTCCAGAAATCTCTTCTACATTTCATTTGGCATAATAAGCGACATAGAATCGCACGTAGTGTACTACTTTCTCTGCGTTCTAGGGGAGGCCTAGGAGCACCAGATATCGTGACCAGGGGCGGACTAACAACTCATGGGGCCCCCGGGCAATAGGGGATCATGGGGCCCCTGTGTCCTCGCCCACACTCAAACCACACCCAAAAAGCCTATGAAAGGTACCAGGGACATCTCATGGGGCCCCCTACTGACCCCGGGCCCTCAGGCAGTTCCTGAGTTCTCCAATGGTCAGTCTGCCCCTGATCGTGACCTATTAATATGCTACTCACCTCCGCTTCTTTACATCGTGGTCCAACCACAACCCTCCCAACCTGTGGACTGAGATCGAGTCCTTACAATTGACTCCGATCCATCCTTGTTCTCTCCTCTGGTCGTCCTCGACGGTGGACCTTGTCTCTATCCGTCGTCTCTTCCTTGGCCCCATGTATTTCTTTATGAGTATCTGGTAGAAATGTAAGACTAGGTTTGCATTGACCTCAGATTGCTCCCCACTGACTAATATCCTCTTTAACCCCAACCTTCCTGATAGTCTGGCCATGCCCCAGGTGCTCCCCTGGGTCACAGCTAATCTCTTCCAATTATGCCATTTAGTACATCCTGTGACTCGAAAACTACAACCATTCTCCTACCTCCAGAAAAAAGATTTACCTTCCCAACATTTATATATCTACCTACAGATACGCAACTTTTTCTCTACCATGTCCCCCACATTGACTCTTGGGAACCCTACTCCCTTTGGGCGTCTGTGCATACAAGGTCCACATCAAAAGGGCATGATTTCTAATACATACAAACTTCTTATGGATGCTTCCTCCCTCTCTAATGATACTCCTCACTACATGCGCAAGTGGTCCCAGTTTTTGCAATGTGACATTGATCTGACGCAGTAGAAGAAAATTTGTGAAAACATCTAAATCTTCTGTCTGTGTGGTTTATAAGGAAAATACATACAAAATTATGATGCTGTGATACAAAACTCCCGATGTAATTCATGCCTTTTAATCCGAATGCTTCTTCCGCTTGCTGGCATTGCGGGAAAGACTTTGGCTCCCTCTTCCACATTTTTTGGACTTGTGGATCCATTGTTCCTTTCTGGGAAGAGGTTTTGTCTTTTTTACAATTGCTATTGCATACTTCTCTCCCTTTGAGCCCCTATACTTTTTATTGAGCCTGCCATTCCCAAGTCTTCCCAAAATGACCAGGAAACTCACCACACATATTCTGACTGCGGCTAGAAGAAGCATTCCTATGTGTTGGCTATCTTCTATACCTCCTTCAATGCCAACTCTGTTTAAAATTATTGCTGATGTGAGACAGATGGAATACTTGACTGCTCTACATGCCTGTTCGATTACTGTGTTCAAGGCAGTGTGGCACTCATGGGATAATTTCACCTCTTCCCACCTTTCTCCAAATGTATGGTTCTAATAGCCTCCCCACTGTTGCTATGTGACATTATTATGTTTGTAACCATGCAGATTTCACCATCGATGTGCTCCCTCTTTCTTTTGTGTTCCTCTTTCATTTACTGTTTGTATATATATATACAGTTGTGTTCAAAATAATAGCAGACAGACATCACTAACCCGATCAATCACTGTTTTTGGTAGAAATGATATTTTACTAGCAGGTGTAGTAGAGTAATAGAAATCCAACAGACCCAACAGTCATGGCATGCATGCTGCTGATTCTGTGTAATTGAATCACTAATTGAAAGGGGCATGATCAAAATAATAGCAGTGTGGAGTTCTATTAGTGAGGTCATTCATTCTTTAAAAAACAGGTGGCAATTATTGCCCTTATTTAAGGAAGGAAGGCAGCAAATGTTGTACATGCTGGTTACAGTGCATTTCTCTCTGAAATTCTGAGGAAAATGGGTCGTTCCAGACATTGTTCAGAAGAACAGCGTACCTTGATTAAAAAGTTGATTGGAGAGGGGAAAACATATAAAGAAGTACAGAAAATGATAGACTGCTCAGCTAAAATGATCGCAAGTGATTTAAAATGGCAACCAAAACTTGAAAGACGTGGAAGAAAGCGAAAAACTACCATTCGAATGGATAGAAGATAGCCAAAATGGCAAGGACTCAGCCAACAATCAGCTCCAAGAAGATCAAAGAAGGTGTAAAGTTAACTGTGAGTACTGTTACAATTAGAAGACGCCTATGTGAAGCCAAGCTATCTGCAAGAAGCCCCCGCAAAGTCCCACTGTTGAAAAAAAGAAGTGCTGAAGAGGTTACAATTTGCCAAAGAGCACATTGACTGGCCTAAAGAGAAACATTTTGTGGACTGATGAAAGTAAGATTGTTCTTTTTGGGTCTAGTGGCCGGAGACAGTTTGTCAGACGACCCCCAAACACTGAATTCAAGCCACAGTACACTGTGAAGACAGTGAAGTATGGTTGCGCAAGCATCATGATATGGGGAATGTTTCTCATACTACGGTGTTGGGTCTATTTATCGCATACCAGGGATCATGGATCAGTTTGAATACATCAGAATACTTGAAGAGGTCATGCTGCCTTATGCTGAAGAGGAAATGCCCTTGAAATGGGTGTTCCAACAAGACAACGACCCCAAAAACACCAGTAAACGTGCAACATCTTGGTTCCAGACAAGATTGACATTATGGAGTGGCCAGCCCAATCCCCGGATCTTAATTCAATAGAAAACTTGTGGGGTGACATCAAAAATGCAGTTCCTGAGGCAAAACCAAGAAATAGAGAAGAACTGTGGAATGTAGTCCAATCATTCTGGGCTGGAATACCTGTTCACAGGTGCCAGAAGTTGGTTGACTCCATGCAACACAGATGTACAGCAGTTCTCAGAAACAGTGCTTATACAACTAAATATTCATTAAGTGATTCAAAGGAAAGCAAAATCTTCAAAAAATTTTCAGTTTATATAGTGAATGTTTGAGTTTGTAAAGAAGAATACAAACACTGCTATTTTTTTGAACCGTCTAATATTCACTTTTCTTCAATTTTTTTTAGAGGAACAGCACAAATTTGATATATTTTTCTTCATGTTTTGATTTGGAATAGAATGTGTAGTGTTTCCAATGCATTTGTGTTTATGGAAATAAAAGCTATTAGAAGGATTTTGAGCTTTATTCACTTTTTTCAACACACTGCTATTATTTTGAACACAACTGTATATGTGAAAACCAATAAAAATTGTTAATACCGAAAAAAAAAAAATGGCCTGGTCAGGAATGGGGGTAAATCCTCAGGAGGGAAAGTGGTTAAACAAGTGATCAAGAGCTTTCATAGTAAAATCAGGGCTTGTTTCAAAGACTTCAGTTTGATGTTGGTTTGAGATTCATCTAAGGTCATTCAGAATTTAACAGGAGCATGTATACCTTCAGTTGACCTCCTTAGGACTTGCATTTGACCTGCTTCAAGTAGGTTTTGCATTTCCATAGACTCTTATGTTTTTTTGGTGTCTCTTTCACACTTCCGAGTTTCTCATATTTATAATGAACTTTAGATGTATTTTACATGAAGTATTCAGCACCGCAGCAATGTTTTTGCTGGAAAACATACCAGCAAGTAAAATGCAGCAAGTGGGATTTTTAAAAAAAAACGTATTACACTAAAAACTACACTAGATCTAACTAGGATTTGGCATATTCTTGCCTTTTCTGTATCTGGTATCCTAGCGAAAAAATACCAAAGGACTTTGAAATGCAATGTGATCACCAAACCGCAGTCCCCAAACCTAACACTCTCCATTCAGTCCATTTCATAGAATTGAATGGAGAGTTGATGTGCCTGCACAGGCCTGCTCCATAAAATTTTGTCAAACAGCTAGTTGGCTTCCCTGCATCACATAGCTGATCTTGCAAGAGGGTCTGTGATCAGTTTATTATACAGTAAGTGTAACTGCAATAAAGTGACATGTTAAATTCACAGCTTGTCTATATACTTGTAGGATAGGAATGGTGCATGTGCTTTTGTCACCTATTGTCTCTCCCTTTTAGGCACTGTTAGCACTGGGTATAGCGCAGTCTGTACGGACACCAGATCCTGGACATCCGTAAGATATTTTAATCATTGACATCACAAATTCTGCTTTACCTGATATTAATTATCTTTGTTTTAGGCATTTGATGATAACAAACCTATACAACATTTTATTACATTTGATTTGTTGATTATATATGTTTTGCTAATATTATTGGGGGAATTGTTCCTAGCCATCTGAAAACAAGTAAAAGCTATGCAGTTTTGTGGGGAAACAATGCAGCTGGTGCAATTTTCTTCTATCCCAGTGCATCTCCCATTACCTTCCTCATAACCCAGTCCAGGATTTGTGAGAAGGGTAATGAGTGGAGAAGAATTTATCAGTCCGGTTTTTACTGTAATCTGTACCCAAGTAACTCCTAGTGAAAAACTGTGCTGAACTTCCTGTTGTTACCCTCTGAAATGCATTTTCTTATATTCCTGTGGAGAATACATTCAGGGCTGTTGCAAATGTCGGTGGCTTGACAAAAGTATTTTGAGATTGCAGATTTGAGAAAGGAAAAGGGATGTTCAGATCACAGCGATGTCTTGGTTAACTAGACCGGAATTAAGGGGAACTCTAAGTGGGACAGTAACCTAATTCTCTTAAGAGGCTTGTTACTTTTACCCCCGGTTCATATCTCTGCGGCCGTGTGGGACGCGTTTTGCATGGGCACGAGAGCCTATTCATTTGAATGGACTCCAATGCCCGTGACACGCAGGGAAAGAAGTCTCTGCACTTCTTTGGAAAACGCAGCCCTCATGGGAACCTTGGTTCCCAGTACGGTTGCGTTTCCCAGTGCGGGCGGTGTGCCATTAGAACTAATGGCACCCGCCCGCGGGTCCGCAATTCTCTGTGCAGGTGGTGTGGCTGGCACGGATTTTTGTGCGGATCCGCAGCGGCACCACCCGCACAGATGTGAACCTAGGGTAAGGCAGAAGCTGGAAATTCCATTTACAATACCCTTACCTGCTGCTGATCAGTAAATACTTCCCTGCTTGGAAACCCATCAGGTACCTATTTTAGCTGGACGGCTGAGCCCATCCATATAGGACTTAACTGTTTACTTTAGCGTGATGTAGTCCAGCCTGGGAAAGTTTCTGCTTTTCAGTATTCTGTGCAGAGTGATATGCAGGACCAAGCAGGAGAATCAGAAGCTATGCTTGTAGCATAACTCAAGTTATTTGTTTGTTTTTGTTTTTTTAATTTTGTGCATGTGAACAATAGTTACCTCCACTAAGGTACAAGCATTACCTCGGTTTACGAATTTAATGCATTTTCCAGGACGTTTCCTATTGCGAAAAATTTGTAAACTGAAATACGGTTTCCCATAGAAATGCATTGAAAGCCAATTAATCCGTTGCAGAGGTCAGAAAAAAGTTTAAAAAAATATTATTTTATCTGTTCAAAACTCTCTTTATAAAGTGCACTTTAAAGGCATAAATACTGTACAGGGACATGGTTAAAAATTTTCAGAATGGCTCCAAAACTCGATGCAAAAACTGCTTCAAACACCTCCACACTCGACGCCACGTGCTACCCACAGACTCCAGCATGCACAGGGCCAGTGCTATAAACCTCCCAGGTGCAATGCATCCTGGGGAAACTTGCTTCATATTGCGAAAAAAAAAAGCATTATTTTCAATGGATTTTCATTCGTAAACCAAAAATGATGTTAACCAAGGCGTTCGTAAACCGAGGTACACCTGTATATCCAATGGCGACTTGCTACTCCTGTCTTTTGATATCACTACAAAGGAGATCACACTGCTACAATTTGAAGTTAAAAGAAAGGATAAAGCAGTTAAAACTTTAGAGTTGGGAGCAGTAAAAATGTGGTACTAGCTAGAATGTCAGTAACTGTAAAAAAACTTTTCAGGATGTCTCCCTTAGGAATCACAATATACAGAGCTATGGGAATTATTAGAGAATAAAAATCACATACACACTGCTTGAGCTAGATGGACCAATATCCTTTTTTTTTTTTTTTTTTTAAACCTATAACGTCCACCTTTCTGACCATGTTTCATGTTTGGGGTAAAACATGAAACATGGTCATAGTTCGCAGCCCAAACTGCGAAAACTATTCTACACACAGACTGGGGGTTCTACACACAGACTCCTGCCATTCTTCTGTTTGTAGTGCTGCTGTGTGTGACTCTGCCCTCACAGTCCACATCATCCATTTACAGAGACCACACTTGTATATTTCCTTGAGCCCTGTAATCAAAGGTCTGCATCTTGGTATAGACCTGCAGCAGAAGGAAAAAAAATACACACTTTTTTTTTTTTAATCAATGTTGGTTCATTATTTATTTATTTTTGCAAAAGGCTGAATTAGACTTTAATGCCAGATAGTGAGTGTGCACCTCTCTTTGTACTGTCAGCCAACCTCAACATTATGAGAGCTGCAGCTCTCGTACATAGGTGTGGTGTTATTGGTATGTCCTCTTTCACCTTGGCCATTTACAGAACGCAATGTTTTCTGCATGCTCAGCTTGAGTGTTGTTTTATTGGCTCATTCCTGACCAAGGAAGGACCAGAAAAGAAGCCGTCCAGGTTTCGGACATATGGGGGTCATGGGAAGGAGGAACTGATCCCCCCCCCATCTCTGCCACTAGTTAAAGATTTAAAACATATATAAAAGGAATTGTTCTGTTATTACCATGGAAGAATTCTGAAAAGCAGAATAAAGCAAAAGCAAGCCATTGTCCACAGCTACAAACCCTATTTTGGCTCTCATGATTATTCTGGTTGCTATGAGAAGCTGCTTGACTTTTCTCTACTGCAGGTTTCATACATTGGCCCCTGTACTTTGTTCGAGCCCAAACCTCCATCCCTTCCACTTCTCCAGCAGCCGCTCTTACACAAAACATCTTTGCATGGAAAGCACAATAAGCCTTTTCCAAGCCTATAATTACTAGCTCTTTGGACTTCTAAATGCAAAAAAAAAAAATTATAAATATGAAAATGTATTTCCTATATTAAAAACATCTAAAATTACACATAACGACACAAGGAATTAAATTTGGAATTGTATTCAGCAAATATTTAAATGCTACCCTGTTCATTAAACATCTGAATGCATTAAAAAAAGGGATTAAATCAATTTCATCAGCAGCTGTGGTGCATAACATTAAAGTAATAAGATTAGATCTAAATAGCCTATGCAGGGAAGGGATTAGAAAAAAATACAGGATGAAATTACTTTTTTTTTTATGAAACACTGAAAAGGGCACGGAATTATAATACTATATTAAATGGCTCTGCCCTGCTCTTAATTTGTGTACTTTTTGCGGTGTTCCTGTATTTTATTTTAATACTTGTATATTTTGTCTAGAGCCTAGAGTACATATTTCTGCTGAATCTTAAAATGTACATATTGCCCAAACCTGTCAGTATAATACACGTACTCTCCAACGTACATTTCAATCACATCCTGCAAACTGTTACACAAGATTATTATTCCTTAAATAAAGCTATTTTCTAACTATATGTACTGTAAGGAAATATAGTTTCCTTAGGCTACTGTTCCTGTTCTTTCACATGTTAAAAATCTGAACTTGTGTGCCAGAAATTACTTTACACCCCACCCCCCCCCCCCCCAAAAAGAAAATATATATTTTCTAAAAGCAGAGGCCCTGTTGAATTATTTGGTGGCAATTGCAATTTTTTTTATATTGCATGTTATTTGCACACCTGTTTATCTAATGGGTAAAAGCAAAGAGCTTTCTCAAGACCTCTGCAACCTTGTTATTGAAAAACATATTGATGGCATTGGTTACAGAAGGATTTCAAAACTTCTGAATGTTCCAGTGAGCACTGTTGGGGCAATAATCCAGAAGTGAAATAAGCCTCATTTCACCATAAGCCAGCCACAACCAGGTGCTCCTCGCAGGATTTCTGAGTACTGAAAAGAATTATCAGAACAGTTGTCCAAGAGTAGAGGACCAATTGTGGAGAGCTTCAGAAAGACCTGGAATTAGCAGGTACAGTTGTTTGAAAGAAAACAAGAAACAAGTAATGCACTCATCCTCCATGTCTTGTATGCACGCTCACCATGCAAGACTACATTGCTGAAGAAACAGCATGTTGAAGCTCATTTAAAGTTTGCTTCACACCATTTAGACAAGTCTGTGAAATACTGGGAGAATATAGTCTGGTCAGATGAGACCAAAATTGAACTCTTTGGATGCCATAACACACACCATGTTTGAAGGTCAATTGGCAGTGAACATCACCCCAAATACACCATCCCAACAGTGAAGTTTGGAGGTGTAGGGCTGTTTTTCATCATACTGTACTGGCAAACTTCATATCATTGAAGTAAGGATGAATGGCAAAATGTACCAAGACATTATTGATAAAAATCTGCTGCCATCTACCAGGATGATGAAGATGAAATGAGGGTGGACATTTCAGAAAGATAATGATTCCAAACACAAAGCCAAGGAAACTCTCAATTGGTTTCAAAGAAAGAAAGAAAATAAAGCTGCTAGAAAGGCCCAGCCAATCACCTGACTTGAATGCAATAGAAAATCTATGGAAAGAACTAAAGATCAGAGTTCATAGAAGAGGCCCACGGAACCTTCAACATTTGAAGACTGTTTGTGTGGAAGAATGGGCCAAAATCACACCTGAGAAATGCAAGCGACTAGTTTCTCCATATAGGAGGCGTTTTGAAGCTGTCCTTACCAACAAAGGATTTTGTACAAAGTATTAAATACATTTCAGTTAGCGTGTTCAATATTTTTTTCTTCTGTCAATCCATTTTATTAGATGTAATTTCATTACTGAACTTATTTGTTTTGGTTTCTTTGTATGTATGGATTACATGGGATGTTACCAACATGTGGTGAAAATTTCATGTCTATAGCACCTTTAGAAATATATTTACCTAGAAAAATGATGACATGTTCAATACTTATTTTACCCGCTGTATGTGTAGGTTGCAATAGTTGGGAAAACTAACATGTCGCTTGGCCTGATAGTTGCCAGCTAGGAGACGAGTACTAGTTTGTAGAAAGGCTACAGCTAGGCTGCAGGATAGGAGAAAGTACAGTGGGCACGCTATACGAAGAACAAAGACCTAGGTTGGAAGATGGAAATGAGAGGTGGTGTCAACCAAGGCCTATCTGCAGGTTGTAGGGGTTATTTATTTTAAACAAATCTATTGTGCATGTAAACGAATGTACAGCTAAGACCTTCAATGTCATCTCCAAACTCCCAGATAACGGCAGAGTTTCTCTAATGTTGATTTTCCTTATGTCTTCAACTTTCGTTTCACAGGTATGGCTTTACAAACATGCGATATATTGCTTCCTTGATTAGTGGTGTAGGCATTTTTATGATGGGAGCTGGATTGTCATGGTACCATGGAATCATAGGTTTATTACATCCTCAGCCAATAGATTCATTGCTATGGGTAAGTGCATGTCTTTCGCTCTTTCCTATCACCCGACAATGATTCAGTGCTTACTAAAGTGTTTCTATTTCTTCTTTTCCAGGCATACTGTATACTTGCTGGATCATTAGTTTCTGAAGGAGGTAGGCAGTCTTCTTTAGTTTTTGACACTTAAACTAAATATGGCATAAAGTCTTATTTCTTTGCATCTCCTACACAATTGAGACCATACAGAGTGAGCTAGTGTTTGTTTTTCTGTTTTTGTCCATATGCATGAGCAATACAGAAACAAACTGATACAAATCTCATATATAGATATATAGGACCAGCCAATACTGCAGTTAATTGTTTATATAACCGGTTATTATATAGCGCCATCAGTTTACACAGCACTTTACATATACACTCACCGGCCACTTTATTAGGTACAACTAGTGCCAAGAAAATATCCCCCACACCATTACACCACCACCAGCCTGAACCATTGATACAAGGCCGTATGGATCCATGCTTTCATGTTGTTTACGCCAAATTCTGACCCTACCATCTGAATGTTGCCGCAACCAGTCTGCCCATTTTCCTCTGACATCAGCAAGGCATTTTTGTATACACAACTGCCACTCACTGGATATTTTCTCTTTTTCGGACCATTCTCTGTAAACCTAGACATGGTTGTATGTGAAAATCCCAGTAGATCAGCAGTTTTTTAAATACACTGATGTGACATGGTTGTTGTGCCAGACAGGCTGCTCCAAGTCACTTAAATCCCCTTTCTTCCCCATTCTAATGCTCGGTTTGAACTTCAGCTAGTCGTCTTCACCACGTCTACATGCCTAAATGCATTGAGTTGCTGCCATGTGATTGGCTGACTAGCAATTTGTGTTACCAAGCATTTGAACAGGTATACCTAATAAAGTGGCCAGTGAGTGTATATTGTACATTCACATCAAAAATGTATAGGCAGAGCTTACAGTGTAAACTGCATGTCAAACAATTGGTGGATGAAGGCAGCTAATGTTACATACAGATCCCAACTGCTGTGCTTGTATCTGCCTACTACCTTCTCCCTAGTGGTTATTATGCCATATATCACTTTAGATGATCAATAGGAAGGATTGGGAAGTGTGAAAATGCCAGGCCAAGCTTAATCCTTATGGGAAAAGTTGAGATTTTCCTATAATTTCAGTAACCACTGTATATCTCTATATTACCCATCACATTCTGACAAATACAGAAGGTTAGAATCCTAGGGGATGCAGACCATAAAAAAAAATCTTTCCTTCTCTATCAAAAACAAACAATAAAAATTTGCTTTAGATGCGCTGTAAATGTTTTAATGCAGGGACAGGCAACCCTGGAGAAGTGATTATCAAAGATTACCAGGGCACCATATTTTTTTTTTTCCCCTAAAGCATCTTAACAAGGCCCCATTAAAAAGTATGGAAGGTTTGAGGAGTTAAGGGGTCAGGAGTGAAGCCTGGTACACACAGCTGTTTTTTTTTTTTTTTTTCTTTCCGTTCAACCTGGAGGGCTGAACCAAAAAAAAAAAAAAAGATCGCTATACCAACACAAGCAATGTTAGTGTGGTGATCTCCCCCATTGTGCCTTTGTATTCTAATTGCCCCCAGAACAAACTGTACAGCGCTTGCAGCTGCAATATTGGCTGTAAGCGCTGATCGGATGCTGGCTTTCCAACATGTCCTTTTGACAAAAGCCGGGGTGGGCAGGCAGCTGTACACACTGACTGAATGTCGGCTGGTTCCTGATGAAGCAGCCAATTTTTTGCCCCATGTGCACCCAGGTCTGTAGTATGTAATGTGGAGTGCAGAGCTCAGTAGCAAGTAATGCAGAGTGTTTTCTGCTTTAGCTTTTCACTGCTTTTTACAAAATACATTTTGGGGATTTCAAGAGCTTTTTGAATTGTATCTACTTCCCTGGCCATTAACCATTACCCTCTCACAGGCAGCTGTCATTTATATGCAGAATAAAGGTTGGTGGTGCTGGCAGGTACACCGATGCATCTGCATTGCAGGCAGCGGAAAAACTGCCAATTCCTATTGCCAGCTAGTCATTACAGTCAGTACTGTGCTGCCCCAAGGTATGGCTCATCTTCCTGCCCATTCACCCACTTCCAGCCCGCAAGGGCTCTGCAGCATTTGTTCCTCCATGCCCACTAGACCCTCTCATCAATGCTTTAACCATGCCTAGTGTTTTGGCAGTGCTGGCTGGGCAGAGCCTCTTGCTGCTCAATGATTGAAGTCAGCTGTATAATTCCTGGAGTCCGGCCCTAGCCCTGGCCTAGGACGTCCCTTGGTTCTGACCTGATTTGAGAGGCGGTGCAACTGGGTCGCAATCCACCCAGCAGATGATCACAATCAAATCCCCAGTTTATTGCCTAGAATTACTGTATGTGTGTAATCGGTGTGCCTATGCAGTACATGGATGCAGTGTTGTGCATTTTTTTTTTAATGCACTCATGAAAATGCTGAAGAAAGGCACCTGAGTGCATATCCACACAATGCAAAACTGCCCAAGTGTAGAAAAATCCCTTTTATTCCTCCTTTACCATACAGTACTTCTGCATGCTGAGGAAAACCACTCTCAACAGCTCTAAATCAAGCCCATTGTACTGATCTCTGTACATTTCTAAATTGATTAAGACAACAGCTGAATTAGAGGACAGACATTTCTATTGATCCTGCTGGTTGTGTTTGTACCAGATCCAGGCAGCAATATATATATGAGATTCAGGAATAAATACAGAGTTAGAGAGATGAATAACTATACACTATGTTAAGTGTTATCTGTTATGTGTATCACATAGCCCCCCCCCCCACCAGAGAGAGGGCACTGCTGACTGCCATTGGTTTTCAATGTTCTCACAGCCTGCAATGGTCTTTGTTCTAGCTACACTTCTTGTTGCTGTTAATGAAATTAGGAGGAGTGCAAGGGCAAAGGGATTGTCTTTTTACAAGTACGGTATGTATGGTATGGTTTGGGGCCATTTAATTTTGAAATGCTGTCTTTATTTTGTTCTACAAGTTAATGCTGCTGTTCTTCTCAGTGGTTCAGTCTCGGGACCCAAGCACCAATGTAGTCCTGATGGAAGATGCTGCTGCAGTTTTGGGGGTTGTAATGGCTGCCTCCTGTATGGGGTTGACATCACTAACTGGTAAGATGTGTTTTTTTTTTTTTTTTGTATGTATGTCTTTTTTTTTTTTTTAAATGAGGTATATGTCTAAACAAATGTGTATGTGGGAAGGTACATTAGAGTTGACCAGTAAGAGCAGCTCCACTCAAAGCAGAGTTCTGCATTTTGGGTGGAGTTTACTATTCTGAACATGGTTTTTCTCACCAAGGTGCTTGGGAAGACAATACTCAGCTGCAGGCTGTTTTCTACTCTTGTCTTTTGGCTGCAGGAGCTGGCTCTCTGGTCATGAATTTCTAGATATGTAACACTTTAAGAATCTAAAAAAAAGGGAAGGGGGAGCTGCTCACTATAAAAGCAAACTTGAATTGAAGTAAAGCAATTCGCCAGCTATCGACCTGGAGCCAAAATAGCCCTAACGCGTTGTTTTGCATCAATATATACAATTGACTTTTATGGTGAGGGCCTCTCCCTTCCTTTTTTGGATTTCTTATTTACACATTTTCTCTCGTAGCTGGAGGGAGGGGCAGTGTGGGAAATTTCCTCACCAGGGCCCCAATGGGCAACAATAGATCTCTGCTCTGCTTGAAATGCCATTTAAATGTCATATGTATCTTATGTACTTGCCTACATTGCCACTATATGTAAGATGTTCCAAAGTATTGGAGTGTAGAAGATGCTTTTTCAGCAAGGATTCCACAAGAGGTTGCTTAGGGGTTGAGCAGTAATCAATGGCAGGTTGATCTTGCAATGACCACAAATGTAGGGGGGCAATTTCCCCCTGATATCCAATGCAAGGTGTCCTTTCTACAATGATTACAATGATAAAGGGGGTGTGATGGGGCGTTTTTCCACTGACAGCTAGTGTAAGGGGGCATTACAATTTTTTGTATATCTTATCTGGCCATTATCATTTGTTTCATTTAATTCCTAGTGCTGGAGATTGTTGTAAAATAATTTGCTCTGGGTGTCATATATTCCAGTTATGCCATTTTCTTTATTCTCTTTTTTAAAAGGTTTTACAACTTTCTGATCATGCTAATATTCCATGAACTTTAGATGTAATCATCTTTTACCAGGGTGTCCCTGAGACCTCGAGGTCCCCCCGCTCGTGTGACTCATGTGTACCCTAGCAGCCATGCAGTGGTGCAATCTATGACTCTCTGTGTCCACAGATCGTTGGATCTGGCCTCTGTGTCAGTAGTACACAGTGGGCTTCATTTAGGGCCAATCCCAACAGGACCTGTACAGTGTGAAAGCTGTGGCTAGTCACAACTATCAGAATTGAACACAATGGCACATGAATGGATGCCATTCATAAAAATGAATGCTTGTATAGTGATCGTCACTGTAATAAGCAGTCATAGTGTAAAAAATAAAACAAAGTCATCAACTCCCGAGTGCAGTACAGTGTCACTATGGTGACACTGTACTGCTCTGGTCACAATACAGTGGGGCAAAAAAGTATTTAGTCAGCCACCAATTGTGCAAGTTCTCCCACTTAAAAAGATGAGAGAGGCCTGTAATTGGCATCATAGGTAGACCTCAACTATGAGAGACAAAATGAGAAAACAAATCCAGACAATCACATTGGCTGATTTGGAAAGAATTTATTTGAAAATTATGGTGGAAAATAAGTGTAAGTCACCTACAAACAAGCAAGATTTCTGACTCCCACAGACCTGTACCTTCTTCTTTAAGAGGCTCCTCTGTCCTGCACTCATTACCTCTATCAATGGCACCTGTTTGAACTTGTTATCGGTATAAAAGACACCTGTCCACAACCTCAAACAGTCACACTTCAAACTCCACTATGGTGAAGACCAAAGAGCTGTCGAAGGACACCAGAAACAAAATTGTAGACCTGCACCAGGCTGGGAAGACTGAATCTGCAATAGGCAAGCAGCTTGGTGTGAACAAATCAACTGTGGGAGCAATAATTAGAAAATGGAAGACATACAAGACCAATGATAACCTCCCTCGATCTGGGGCTCCACGCAAGATCTCACCCCGTGGGGTCAAAATGATCACAAGAATGGTGAGCAAAAATCCCAGGACCACACGGGGGGACCAATGAATGACCTGCAGAGAGCTGGGACCAACGTAACAAAGGCTACCATCAGTAACACACTACTCCGCCAGGGACTCAGATCCTGCAGTGCCAGACGTGTCCCCCTGCTTAAGCCAGTACATGTCCGGGCCCGTCTGAAGTTTGCTAGAGAGCATTTGGATGATCCAGAAGAGGATTGGGAGAATGTCATATGGTCAGATGAAACCAAAATAGAACTGTTTGGTGGAAACACAACTGGTCGTGTTTGGAGGAGAGAGAATGCTGAGTTGCATCCAAAGAACACCATACCTACTGTGAAGCATGGGGGTGGCAACATCATGCTTTGGGGCTGTTTCTCCGCAAAGGGACCAGGACGACTGATCCATGTACAGGACAGAATGAATGGGGCCACGTATCGTGAGATTTTGAGTGCAAACCTCCTTCCATCAGCAAGGGCATTGAAGATGAAACGTGGCTGGGTCTTCCAACATGACAATGATCCCAAACATACCCACCCGGGCAACGAAGGAGTGGCTTCATAAGAAGCATTTCAAGGTCCTGGAGTGGCCAAGCCAGTCTCCAGATCTCAACCCCATAGAAAACCTTTGGAGGGAGTTGAAAGTCCGTGTTGCCCAGCGACAGCCCCAAAACATCACTGCTCTAGAGGAGATCTGCATGGAGGAATGGGCCAACATACCAGCAACAGTGTGTGCCAACCTTGTGAAGACTTACAGGAAACGTTTGACCTCTGTCATTGCCAACAAAGGATATATAACAAAGTATTGAGATGAACTTTTGATATTGACCAAATACTTATTTTCCACCATAATTTTCAAATAAATTCTTTCCAAATCAGCCAATGTGATTGTCTGGATTATTTTTTTTTTCTCATTTTGTCTCTCATAGTTGAGGTCTACCTATGATGCCAATTACAGGCCTCTCTCATCTTTTTAAGTGGGAGAACTTGTACAATTGGTGGCTGACTAAATACTTTTTTGCCCCACTGTATGTACAAAAAAATTGTAAAAGAAAAGGCCAGTGTCCCTGATCACTACCACACCAGTATGGTGACACTCATTTCTATAACTATAGTGATGTAAAATAAATTGTGAAAAAAAAAAAAAATTGACAAAAAATTACAACTTCAAAAAACTTACCATGCCACTCACTAAATACCATGGGGTGTCTACTTTTCAAAATTGGGTTCTTTTTTTTTGGAAAGGGGGGGGGTGTATTTGTACTGCTCTGGCATTTTAGGGCCTCAATAAATGAGATAGGCCATCAGTACATTGGGACTGATCAGCTTTCAAATACATAACACCATAGATTGTAGACTCCATAGCGTTCACACAGAGTAATTAATGTACACTGATTTGGGTTATTTTTACCAAAGAAATGTAGCAGACTACATTTTGGCCTAAATAATGAAGAAAGCTTATATATTTGCAAAATTATATAACAAAAACTAAGAAAAGCGTATTTTTTGTTTTTTTTGTTTTTATTTAAATGTCAGCATTTTTTTGTTTATATAGCAAAAAAAATTAAATCCCAGTGGTGATTGAACACCATCAAATGAAATCTCTCTCTCAAAAAAGCTAAAAATTTAATTTGGGTACAGTGTTGCACGACTGAGTAATTGTCTTTCAAAGTGTGACAGCGCTGAAATCTGACTTCGGCAGGAATGGGGTGAAAATGTCTGACTTTGAAGTGGTTAAGGTCTATTATGACTTTACTGTGCCATTTAGTATAGGGTAAAACTTTTAATAGAAACACTTTTTTGAATGGTGGAATGGTGTTTATGTATTATGTGTGGTAGAACTGTTCTCCTGTCTTTTCTCCTTCTATGGAGTGTGTCCTATGTTACACATCAGCACAGGAGTGAGGCAGTTAATTCTGAAGATGCCATCTTTTTATACCAGTCTCATTCCCATCATTGGGTACAGACACCCAAGGCAAATCTTCATGAGTTATGTGTGTACGCGGCTGTTTTCTGATCTTTTAATGCTATCTTTCTCTTCATAAATCTCACCAGCCACATCTGTTAATTCTACAGACTGCGAGCACACGTCTCCTTGTTTTATTGTGCGTCACCTGTCACAGAGACAGGTTCAATTTTAAGGTTTCTAATACTTTTATCCGCTCTGCTGATCTCTAGTGCTGTCTGCTATGACTTTCTACTGACCTTCTTATCACAACAACAAACTTCTGTGAAACTTGTTACTAGTACTAGAAGAAATGTTTTGGATATATAAGATTTGTATATTTTTTTTTCTACGATCTTGTGCAGACTGACTTTAACTGATATGTAACTGTGGTTACTACTAGGGAACCCGTTATATGACAGTCTGGGCTCCTTGGGAGTTGGGACCCTGTTGGGAGCAGTTTCTGCTTTCCTTATCTACACCAATACAGAGGCCCTCATAGGTCGATCGATACAGCCAGAACAAGTACAGCGTCTCACTGAATTTCTAGAGAGTGATCCTGCTGTAAGGTAAGAAAACAGTTCCAGGTGTAAAATGTCTTCATTTTGAGTTTTCACACTAACAATGTAATAAACAATTTTCACATCTTCACTTATTTGTGCAGGCTTTTAAAGTATTGATGTAATGGGAACTGCAGGCATATGGAATGCTGTATTTATATGTATGCTCTGTATTCACTGGGGCTCTTGGCAGTAGAAGGTGCTTTGATGCTCAGTGCTAAGCAGATCACACTGAGGCATCTTCCATGGAGGTTCATGTGTACCATGTGGAGATGGAAAAAGGAATAGCACTGTAGATACCTCTGCTGCCTGCTTATCAGGAAAAAGAATGGTTTACAAAACCAGTCGGCAATAGATGATGCGATTTACAGGTTGCAGGAAAGAAAATTGCACAGTTACCCCATCAACACAGTCAGTGCTGAGTGCGTGGTGGCGTAGGGGGGTGCCATCCCTGTCAGGTAAACACAGTGATCATTACTAGCGGCTATAGCTCTCTCACTTCACACAGTGTTCACATATTGGAAGGGTCTTTTTTTTTAATTTTCCTGTGCTACAATCAGAAATATTAGAACTGTTCATCCTCTTTTAAAGTAGACCTAAACCTAAAATCAAAAATATAAAATATTGAAGCTTACAGGTAATTAGATGTGGGGGCCAATTTAATTTTTTTTTCCTGGCTAAGAACATGATCAGCAAGTCCAAAAAATACCTATTGATTTTGCCAGAAATGCAGTGTGCTTGTCGCTTACTGTGATCGGAAAATAAAGCACAAACGTCTTTATGGTTCATTCGTAATTTACTAATCCCTACAGTCCACCATGTAATAATGATGAACAAAGGTAGACATGGCTAAAGTCCAGTCTGTGACATTCATGGCTCAGTCTGTGACATTCATGGCTGAAGTCCAGTCTGTGACATTCATGGCTGTGAATGTCCAGTCCAGTCTGTGACATTCATGTCTGAAGTCCAGTCTGTGACATTCATGGCTGAAGTCCAGTCTGTGACATTCATGGCTGAAGCCCAGTCTGTGACATTCATGGCTGAAGTCCAGTCTGTGACATTCATGGCTGCCCTCATAGATGCAGTGAAAAAATTTAGTGTAGACACGACAGGACAGGAAATGTGTTATTTACAGGATCACCTAAAAATATAGGGGGGAAAAAAAAGACTAAAGAAAACCAATCCAGCCACCACATCTAAAGACTCGTAATCTACAATATATTACATTTTATTCTTTTGGGTTTATGTACGCGTTATTTTTTGAAACTTTTTGTTTTAAGAAACAATATTAGGTAACAAAGAAAAAGCAAAGTACGATGGGGAGACTTGTTCCAACAGTGTTTTGGCCCTTAGGGGTCGCAGCGTGGAGGTGAGCGGGCATTCTAGCTGGTGGTGGATACACTTGTTAAGTTGGTCACCGTACCTGTCACCTGTTAAAGTTGTGCACGAAATCATATTATTGGAACTTTCACAGAGATATTTTGGACTCGTCACTTTTATGTTAGTTTTTGCGGCAGATTTATGCTGGTATATGTAATTTTTGCACTTTTTTCTTTTTTTGTGATTCACTCACTCTATTGCTCATCATCATTGGTTTTTTTTCCTATGTGTTTTCTGATGCATTTGTGATCACGTTTTTGCTGTTACGTTTTGACGTTTATGGTTTTATGTCATTTCACATTTATTTGTTCACTTGTGTTTATATTCTTTCTTCTTTGGTTGCATCATTTACATATGAATAGTGCAGCACTTTCACAGATTTAGGTTTTCACTATTACCCAGTTGGGAGTTTCCCCTTTTTCTTTCCATCCCACTTAGGAGTCTTACTACTGTATATATGATGTGTTAACACAGTCCTTGGTTTGTGTGGATTGATATAATTTGGTTGTTTTCAGTATATAGGATTAGCGCAGCACATTTTTTTGACCCATTCCTGATTAACTTTACATAGGTAATTACCTTTTCTTTACATTTAAAGGCCTAATCTGGACAGAACTGATATCACTCTTCGGTAGCATTGATGTGTTGTATTGCCGCTTGTCTCCTATTTTTGTTAGGAGTTGTAGTGGTGAGATGTCACTGTCCATTGTCATTGGAGTTCCTCCACAAAGCCTAGCAATGGTTACATCCTGATAATAAGCATACTTGCACATTGATCTCTGACCATCTCTGCAGTGGTGCCTGGAAGACCTGGGCTGCTTGCGGCAGCAGCACTGTTTTTTTCTAAAATTGCAGTTTAGCACATAACATCAAAAGCTGCATGCTATTTTTAGGGGTTTTTTTGTTTTTGTTTTTTTAAATGAGGCGCAGGTCTCCTCTGTAAAGCTGGGTACCCACAGTCCAAATATAGGTCGGTTCAGCAGGAACCGGCTGACATGTGGACCATGTGTACAGCTGTTTTTCCAACAGAAGCCAGTCTAAGGAGAAGAGATATGCTGGAAAACCAGCCTCAGATCAGCTCTCGCAGCCACTGTCTGAGAGTGCTAATTATTGTGTTTTCTTGCAGGGGCGGGGCATGGAGTCCCCCTGCCAGAACACAAAGGCACAGTAGTGCAGCTATCTCTGTTTTTTTCTTTCAGTCCACTGGGTTTAATGAGAAAAACTGATTGCGTGTACCAGGCATAGGAGTAAAAGTTGGACAGATACTTATTGTGTTCTACATCCATTACAATGAAATCAGCAAGTACAGTTGTATCTTGTTGTCCAGAGCAGGAGTGGAGTGAGATGTTCCAGGGGACAGATGTCCGTCCCCCCCAACTTTGTTTAGCTGGGAACATCTAGCATACATATTAAAAAAGTTTGTCACTGGTTTAATCCTTAAAATGTGTTTGCAGGGCTATTCATGATGTAAAAGCTACAGATATGGGAATGAGTAAAGTACGGTTTAAAGCAGAAGTGGATTTTGATGGACGGGTTGTAACAAGGTTATATTTGGAAAAGCAAGATATTGACCAAGTGCTTCAGGTAAGTCCAATAGAATTGAATTCCTTAAACATATTATTTTAGATCTATCTCTTCTCTTGAACATGTGAAGTCAAATCCATAGGACAAGCGGTGTGTGCAATGCTTCCAGGAAATGGCCAGCAGTCCAGTCAAGGTGGTTTCCAGTGGTTTAAACACTGTGCTTGATTTAATAAATTTGGAGAGTGCAGAATCTGGTGGAACTGTGCATGGTACCCAATCAGCTTCTAGCTTCAGCTTGTTCAATTAAGCTTTGATATTAAAACCTGGAAGCTGATTGGTTTCTATGCAGAGCTGCACCAGATTTTGCACTCTCCAGTTTTAGTAAATCAACCCCACAGAGTTGTTTTTAGTGAACTTAGGTTATGATTTAGATTTGAAAAAAAAAATTCATCCTTAAAACCTTTTATCCCTAACTGGTCTAGAGGAAGGCAACTCTGGATAAACATTTGTCTATTTTTAAATTCTTTTGAGGTGAATAATCTGGTAGAACCTGATCCCGTGGATAACTTTTCCACATTTTTTACAGCTCTCACAGTAAAGCACCCTTTAACCTCCCTGGCGATTATTCCCGAGTGTAGCTCGGGGGAAAGTTTCAGCACCGCAAGCGGTAACCCCGAGCTACACTCGGGAATACCTTGCAGCTTTGCTCCGGGATCTCTTCACTTACTTTGTCCTGCGCTCCCACAATGTCCCTCCTGCAGTGTCCCTGGCACTGTCCTCCGGCGGATGCCGGCATCCGTCTTCTGGGTTCCGTTCCCTGCGACGTCAGGACGGAACGGCGGGAAATTTGAAAATGAAAAAGTGACATTCACTAAATACACTAAAATCACATAGTAAAACATTACTGTATCAAACCATTTTACATACATTTTGTCCCGAGTGCTTTGTCCTGTGCCCTGTGTACCGTTCTTTCTGCCTGGAAACTGAGAAATGTCCATGGCATCCAAAAAGCGTCCCTTTAGGTCAAAAGCGGTTTTAGACCAGCTAGAGAACAGAGATAGTAAATTAGAACTACTTGCAGAATTGAGGGATAATGATTTGTGGGGAAATTCGTCATCAGACACTGAAAACGATTTTGCGACTTTGCTCAGTGATGTGTGAACTATATTTCAAATTTCAGTGTTTTTGGTTTGATTATATTATTTCATTACATTTTATTATATTATTATTTTTTATGATTATTTAATAAATTATAATTTATGATTTCGTTTTTCAAATTTTAACATACCCGGGATGTTTACTAGACTCTTGTTCGGACAGATTTCAGTGAGTTATTCCTAAAAATTACAGGCCTACAATAATAAAAATACATATTTCCATGCAAAAAAATGTACCGCTTTGAGCATAGAAATACTGACATAATGAGACCGCTAGGGAGGCTACGTATGTGGAGGTTAACCCCTTTCTACCCACAGTCTATATTAATGTTACCCTGCACAGTGCCAAATGCCGAGGGTCGGTCATTCTCCCATTTGAGAGCTAAAAGCCAAACTTGGGGCACTAATGCTACTCATCAAACCAAGCTGACACTGACAGCTCTACTCCCAAATAATCATAGAGAAGGAATCAATGTGCTTCCCGCTTAATTTGATCACTATGTCAGCAGCGATATAGTGATTACATGCAGGCCTAGAGGCGTTATTCACAAACATTCAGCCTGCAGATGGCAGTGTGCCTCTGTTTAGCACTGCAATTGTCATATAAAATGATAGTATTAAGATAATGACTAAATATTTAGATTTTTGTACATGTGCTAGTTTATATTAAAAAACAGGGCAGGGTCTTTTTAAAATGGCATACCAAATAAAAGCAGTGTACATTAGTGCAAAATCTTCAGAAAGCAATGAAGATTTCTGCTGCTTATAGTGTCCTCATGCCTGTAACTTGAATATGTTCACATGTATGAAAGAAGTTGGAATTTTTTCTGATGTATTGTAGCTAATGGTAGCGGGTCTGCACAGACAAAGTCTTTACTAAATGATCATTAACCTTTTTGGGCAAACACAAAAGAGTAATTTGCAAGTCTGGTTTTTGACGAGCAAGCTTTAGATTCATGTATGAATGCTATCATCTCACTTTTCCAGGAAATTCGTCAGGTGAAGACCCCAGAAGATTTAGAGGCTTTTATGCTTAAACACGGAGAGAATATTATTGACACGTTGGGGGCTGAAGTAGACCGACTTGAAAAGGAATTGAAGGTAAGAGCATAAAGTCATAGATGAGGTCTAACATTACAATGAAGGTCAAGGTAAACATGTCTAAGGCAAAAGTGACAAAAGTAGGCTGTGCAGGATGTATACACTGATACTTCTACTGGCTTTGTATCCTGTCATTTTCTATGCTTCGTTTGAAAAATCAATAAAAATGATTGAAACAGAAAAGTGACAAAAGTGCGCTATCCACATTATGTGTGGATTCCTGCTACCTTTTTCTATGCTCATTTGACTGAAATGTGATTGGCTGCATCGAACACACATACTATAGACAAAGCTGAATTTATAGAATTTCATTTTTAATATACAGTGTCTGTTGGTACCAGACCCCAAAGTTCCTAGTTATGCAACTCAAGACTAAATGAACCGCTTCTTTTTTTTGACATCCAATTCTATGTTTCTGCAACAGACTTTGCTCTTGCTAATTTATAGTTGCTAATTTCCTCACTATTCAACTTGTCAGCTCCCCGGAGAGTTTATTTTCAGTTTTGTGTGCATGTGTTTTGCCATGCTGTGCTCACACAGTATTCAAGAAGAATCCCCATACATTTAGGAAGTTTTCTCTGTAATTGAATTTTTGGTCTTCTTTCCTAGTATGGCAAATGTAGCTCTGGAATTACTTTCTCTCGCTTTAATAACTACACAGTGATTACAAATATAATGTGCTGAATACATCTATAGAAACAGATTACTCTGTTATTTAATAGCATGCTGCATAGATCAGTGAAGTGCAATAACAGTCCAACCTCCCGTCAAAATGACTGAAAAAAGCATTACTTCCCCTAGAAAACAAAACAACTGAGTACTGTTTGTGATGATTTATTTTTGTATGTACTGACTTACATTTTTCGGGTAAGCTTTTGGGGTTCAAGCAGTACCAAGAAGATGGAAACATCGTGAAAGTTTGTCCTAAAAATGTACATGATGCAAATGAAAAAAAAAAGTATCATAGACATTAATTAGTTGTTTTTGTTATAAGTGCAATAAATCAGCTATAGTCACATCTAGAAACCAGTTTCCGGTATCTACTCTTAAAACTTTCCCCTTCTAACATCTATGCTTACTAACCTATCTAAGAAAGATGTATATACTTGCCTGTTTTCAGGTTGCTTTGTTTCCGTCACGTGATCCTAATCCCCTGTGTCAGCCATCGTGGCTGCAGGGGAGAGCAGGGAATGCAGACAATGGTGTCACCACTGCCGGCCTTACTAGCGTTGTCAGAGTGCTCTCTCTCCTCTCCACTGTAGCCACTGCTGCCTGACAGGGAAGGTCATGTGACTGGACCAGAGCGGGCTGAAAATCGGCAAGTATCTTTATACATAGGTGTTAGGAGAGAGGGTAAGGGGACATTTTTAAGAGTAGTTAGGGTTAAAGTGGAATTGCATTGCATCTAAATACCACAAACCAAAAATGCTATATAATTTAATTTTTAATATTTAAGACAAACTCCTTCATCCATCCGTGTCTCCGTGCTTTATTTTGCTGAGAAATCATTTTGAAAAACACCCCCTGGCATTTCTGGCAGTTGCCATCTTGAGTAAGGTCAGATGATTCATGTAGCGGTTACTTCCTGGAATCCATCTGTCTTTAGCTCAGGCATTGGCTGAGCTGAATAGCGTATGTACTCTCCAGCGCCTCAGGATATGCACAGCCAAAAGGGAAGCCAAGGGTACCAGGACAGCGACAACCAAAAGGAAATGTTCCAGGGGTGCAGCCCTCCTCAGACGGGGAAATCAGCCACTGGATAGAGAGAAAACAGGTGGCGCACACACCTAGTGCATTATCCAAGGTTTATTGTAGGAATTAAATCATAAAAACATACTCACAGACGAAGCATGTATCTAAAAAGCATAGAAAAATGACAATGGCCACAACGGCGGGCAAGGTGTTCTCACTGTCAGTGCGGTCAAACGGCTGACGCGTTTCGGGGACGAATCCCTTTCCTCAGAGCTGATGACCAACCTCTGATGCTGATGTATGATGAATGGAAAGTAAAGTAAGAGCCTCACTGTTGATGCCTCTTACTTTACTTTCCATTCATCATACATCAGCATCAGAGGTTGGTCATCAGCTCTGAGGAAAGGGATTCATCCCCGAAACGCGTCAGCCATTTGACCGCACTGACAGTGAGAACACCTTGCCCGCCGTTCTGGCCATTGTCCTTTTTCTATGCTTTTTAGATACATGCTTCGTCTGTGAGTATGTTTTTATTATTTCATTCCTACAATAAACCTTGGATAATGCACTAGGTGTGTGCGCCACCTGTTTTCTCTCTATCCATTGGCTGAGCTGAGAACCCTCCCTCCGCTCCTGAAGACTCCTGGGATGTATGACATCATTTGCCTAGGCGTGGCATCCAGGGCGTAAATGAAAGCATGCAAAAAAAAAAGTTAAAACAAGTAAATATGATACATTTTCCTATCTATGTACTAATGATAGCAGCAATAAGGGTTGGAAATAGTCCATGTTAATTGAGAGAGTGAAGTTCTGCTTTAAGCTAAAATTCCACTTTATCATTAGTGGTATTTTCCAACCACCCACAAACTAATCGCTGTAGCAAAAAAAAAAAAAAAAAATCTTTTTACTTACATTTTTGGTCACGTGAGTCCAACAAGTCACATCCAAGTTGCACTCCAAAGTCATGCAACTTTGGAGTCGTACAAGTAAAGGCTCCATTCAGCACAGTGGCTAAAAGGTTAGCACTTCCGCTTGAGGTTGTTGGTTCAAATCCCAACCATAGCACCACCTAACTGGAGTTTGCATGTTCACCCTGTGCCTGCGTGGGTTTCCTCTGGGTACTCCGGTTTCCTCCTACACTCCAAAGACATGCTGGTAGGTGAAATTGGCTTCTGGCTAAATTGGCCCTAGTATGTGTATGTATGAATGTGAGTTAGAGACCGAAGATTGTACGCCCCTTGAGGGTTAGGGACTGATGTGAATGTACAGTATATATGTAAAGCGCTGTGTAAATTGGTGGCGCTATATAAGTATCTGTAATAATAATAATGTGACACACCAGGTCCCTAGTCTTTCATCTTCTAGAATGCAGAGTGGAAGGCTACTTTCTTTTTGTGTGCCCACATCATTGTCTGGGTGACCTGAACACTTCTCATTGGCTCTCCAATGGCATGGTTCTCTCAGGCTCTAGAAAACTACAGGTGCGTAATGTAATGTAATGAGGGATCCTGCTGGTGGCAGGGCCCACACTACAGCACTGAAACCAGTCTCCACTCCCAGAGGAGGTACTGCATTGGATCATGTAAAAGCAGATTCAGGCAAGTTAAAGGCTTTTTTTTTGCTCAATAATGGGAACCCATTGTACCCAATAATCCCCAGACACAAAGATGCCAGTTTGAACACAAATAGAAATATACTGCTTGTAGTTTATTAATTTATTGTAGTTTATTAGTATTGTTAGTTTGCACTTTGGTACATATGACCAGTTCACTTTAAAGTGGTGGTGCTCTGCACATTATAGATAGAATTTTTTTAAAACATACATTTACATTTGTGTTATTGGCACTAATTTTGGATAACGGCAACCGTTTTGGTGCCATGTGATTTGCCTTTCTAATGGATTTGGCATCCAAGGGTTGTAGTGTAAAATTGTTAACAAATCACTTTGCAAATATAAAGTATCTTTATATACAGAGTTTTAAATCCTAACAAGATCTCATCAATGATTTAATGTCTTCCTTTTGAGCAGCACAAGTGCTTAGATAGCTGCACCAACACTTCTGTTTATTTTTGTCATTAGTTTTTCACATTTTCCATAATGATTTATTTAACTGGTGTAATCGAGATGCAGCTCTGCTCCATCTGAATGAGCATTAGACCGTGCAAAGCCTAATGTGTCTGCTACAACTGTGTCTAGAGTGGTTAGTCTGCCGATGTTCAGACATTTGTAGTTTTCTTTGCAATGCTAGACTGACACCTCCCAAGCCAAAGAAAAGTTCCATTCTGGGGAAAAGGCAGCTGGAAGAAAAATCCTCTTTTCACCCTATTTGATCATACCTTTCCATGCACTATCCAAAATTCCCCCTTTTTTTTTAAAAGTCTAGTCATTTAAAAAGGTCCTCCTATCTTTTTTAATTTTTTTTTTTGTATTGTTGTACTTGGCTAAACTGCACCTGTGTTATTAGGGGTTTTCAAATCGGGTGTCAAAGGTAACTTGTCATGTCTTAAATGTTCACGCTAACAATACTCTGTTTATTAATATCTTTCTTATTTCATTGATTTCATTGTGCCTGCTGAATTTTTTCCACTTCATCCTCCATGGCAGTGTAACTGAGAGATCACTCCTTCTTTTTGCTAAGGAAAGGAAGTACAAAATACTTAAAGTGGAAAACTGCACTGCATCTGAGTACCACAAACAAAAAATACTATACAATCATTTTTAATATTCAACAAAAACTTTATCCATCTATGTCTCCGTGCTTTATTTTGCTGAGAAATAATTTTGAAAAACACCTCCTGGCATACATCTGTCCTTAGATCAGGCTAAGGACCCTCCCTCCATTCCTGAAGGAACACGACAGACAGGTCAGGGATAAAGTTGTGGAGATTAACGCAGGGTTAGGTTTTAAAAAAATATCCCAAGTTTTGAACATCTCATGGAGCACTGTTCAATCCATCATCCGAAAATGGAAAGAGTATGGCACAACTGCAAACCTACCAAGACATGGCCGTCCACCTAAACTGACAGGCCAGGCAAGGAGAGTATTAATCAGAGAAGCAGCCAAGAGGCCCATGGTAACTCTGGAGGAGCTGCAGAGATCCACAGCTCAGGCGTGAGAATCTATTCACAGGACAACTATTAGTCGTACACTCCACAAATCTGGCCTTTATGGGAAGAGTGGCAAGAAGAAAGCCATTGTTGAAAGAAAGCCATTATAAGTCCTGTTTGCCATTTGCGATAAGCCATGTGGGGGACACAGCAAACATGTGGAAGAAGGTGCTCTGGTCAGATTAGACCAAAAGTGAGCTTTTTGGCCTAA